ATAATGTGGGCAGGTCTCATCCAATTTACTGAAAGGATGAAGAGGAAAAAAATAAATTGGGTTTCCTGAAGAAAAAGGGATTCAAGACAGCAGTGTAGAAATTCTAGCCTTCAGACTAAAGGCTGCATCAACTCAACTGAATCTCTAGCCCACTGGAGATTTCAGATTGCTGAGCCACACAATTGCATGGGCCAACTCCTTAAAATAAACCTCTGTTTCTCTGTCTTCCCGTATACAAATAGACAGATGACCCAGATTAAATATAGATATAAATTAGATACAGAAATCCCTGCCTAATGCAGATGGTCAGGGAAATCTCCAGTGAAGGCAGGGGAGGGAGGAAATCTCCAGTGAAGGCAGGGGTGGGAGGGGGCGGTTCTTGAGTCAAGACATAGATGACAAGGAGGATGTGGAAAAGACTGTTTCAGGCAGAGGGAACAGTACATGCAAAGGCCCTGAGATACCTGTTGCAGGGTGAGCGAGGGTACAAGGGCTTCAAGATAGTGACACCCACTTAGAGTCTAAGCTCAGGGGATGGCAAGCTTTTTCTCTAAAGGGCGAGATAGTCAATATCTCAGGCTTTGAGGGGCGAGGGATAAAATGGAAGCTATTATTAAGGCACTTCCACCCTGCCACGCCATTTGCTTGGGATGGGCCACTGGAGTGATGGGCATGACTTGCGGCCCACTGCTGGAGACATTCTCTGGATGAAGAGTGATCAATCTGAGGCTTGGCAATCTAAGCAGGGGCAGGAGTTGCGGTGACCCCCAAGTCCAGTTTCTCTCTCTGCTCCAGTTCTCATCCAGCCTGTCCCTTCAAGGCCCAGCTCTCTCATCTGGATAGCTGGCCAGAGGCAAGGTGACATGTTGAGTGACCCACCTCCAGAATGAGATTCATCCACTTAGTGACTTTCAATCACCAACAGAGGACATTCCAACATGTTGGGATGGTCAGTGTGACCCCCACAGAGTGTAGACAGTGTTCAGGTTTGGGCTGCGGGTCAAGGGGGCAGAGTGGGGTTTAGGGGCAGAGGAGAACCCCCAGCTGTGTCGCTACAGCTCACTGAAGTCCCACCCCTGAGAACTGTTCCTGTAGCTGTACAGAAGCAGGAGGTCCACCGGATTGGCCTGCTTATTTTTGCTAATAAGCTCAATGGGAGGCCATTGGAAGGTTTTATATACTTTTTAATTTTGTAAATATATTTTCATAGATTTCAGAGAGGAAGAGAGAGGGAGAGAGGGATTAAAATATCAATAATGAGAGAGCATCATTGACCGCCTGCCACCAGCACGCCCCCACTGGGGATTGAGCCTGCACTCCGGACATGTGAATTTGACCAAGAATCAAACCATGACGTGGTTCATTGGTTGACACTCAGCCACTGAGCCACGCTGGAAGTGTCACTGGAAGATTTAAACAGGGGGGAGATGAGAGCTGCCTTAAATGTTAAAAAGTCTAATGCAGGCTATTTCAGTTCTAGTTATGTACCCCAAAGAATTGAAACCTCGTACCCTGACAAATATACGTGCATGCAGGCACAGTAGCCAAGAGTTGGAAGCAACTTAATGCACATCAACAGATGAATAGATACACAAATGTGGTCCTTCCACACAATGGAATACTATTCAGCCATAACAGAGGATCAAAGCACTGACACTCACTATGATGTGGATGAACCTTGAAAATATTATACTCAGTGAACAAAGACCACACAACACATATTTCCATTTCTATGAAATATTCAAAACAGGTAATATGCTAGAGTAAGAATGAAGGCTAGTGGTTGCCCGGGGCTGGGAAGATTGGGGAAGGGGAAGTAACTCCTTAATAGCTATGGGGTTTCCTTTGGGGGCATTGAAAATGTCTTGGAACTAGATAGAGTTGCACAACATTGTCAATGTATTAAATGCCACTGAGCAACCTCTTTGAAATGGGTAGCTTTAGGATATATGAATTTCACCTCAATAAAAGAAAATATAAATAACTAAGGAAGGTCACACTAACTAGAGGATAGAGAATGAATTGTAAGGTGACAGGAGGTAAAGGAGGACATGCAGCTGGAAAGCCACTGCAACCATCCACGCAAGAAATGATGGGTGGCTTAATGTGTCAGTCCATTCAGGCTCCTAGAAGATACCCTAGAGCAGTGATTTCGTAACTTTTGAGCTCGGCGTGTCAGCATTTTGAAAAACCCTAACTTAACTCTGGTGCCGTGTCACATATAGAAATTTTTTGATGTTTGCAACCATAGTAAAACAAAGAGTTATATTTTTGATATTTATTTTATATATTTAAATGCCAATGACAGAAAAATCAACCAAAAAAATGAGTTTGTGTGTCACCTCTGACATGCGTGTCATAGGTCCGCCATCACTGCTCTAGAGCCTAGGGCCTAGACTGAATGGTTTAAACCACAGAC